GAATGGAAGCAGACCTGCTTGCCAAAGGGATCCGTCCATTTTCACTCGAATGGCCCGAACGCTCCAAGAATTAGTTTTTCATGCAGGGGAATCACTGGACCCACAGACCGAGGAGCCAGTTATTGGTGGAGAAATCAGAACAACAGCACAAAGACTTATCGATATTGTAGATGCTTCTGCCAGTGGTGCCTTTGTGCCCAACCGAGAGAAGGATGAGCTGACGTACGCCCTCTAGACTCCTGAATACCCTGGGCGAACGCTATGCAAAAGGGTTGATTTCGTGGTGGCATGGCTTCCCTTAGGACGCCACTACCTACAGAAGCTACCAGCGAAGGAAGGATGAGGAGGCAGAGCGGATCCGCAGGTTAGAGGAGGCGGTGCTTCGATCGCATGAGCGAGAACTAAACATGGACGCGAGAATGCAAGAGGAAATCAAATGGCAAGCGACACTACAGTTGAGTAGCATCAGAGCATGCAGTCAATGTTAGCCCCCCTCAGCTAAGAAGCAGTTGCGCTTCCACTGAGCTCCCAAATCAAGATGATGCATTGCAGCACTTCCCCGTGGATGACTTCACCGTGCCTTTAACGCCATGTGAGTTGCACATTCCCTTGGGGAATACCTGTGCAATAGTCTTGGTGGCGCACGGTATTACTTCTCCTGTGGTCCCTGAGAAGACACCAACAAGCCATGGGAATCCAATTCCACCTGGCTATTATAGCGCCTCGGTGGATAGAGTTATCAAAGACTATAGGAAAGTGTCTCTTGACTTTCCTGGAGGTGATGGGAAGAAGACCCTAGGAGAAGCAGAGCATGCATTCATTTTATGGCGCAAGCGCTACATCATTATTCCTGGTGTAGCAGCTAGGGTACCATCGCCTCCTCCTCAACTACCTCATGATAGGTGCGGATGAAAGTGAACGAAACAATTTTTCAATAATCATTCTCAATTATTGGCTTCTCGCGTAATAATCATTTTTGTACTCACAGGTCTCCCAACCTGAGTCCAGTTCTTCCATCCCATGATGACCATCAGAGTGCTATGGACGATGATGATGCTGTGGACGATGATGATGCGTTCCATGGCACGGTTGCATCTCCATCTCCATCTCCTCCAAGGCGGTCTCCCCTTTCTCTGCCTCCCGCGCCGTAGAGCCAGAAGAGGCCACCACCCCCGGTGAAGAAGAAAGCCAGCCGTCGTAAAACAAAGCCCCCTCCGGAGAAGCTGCCTTACGAGAAGTCTGAAGAGGAATCAAAAGCGGCGGCACAAAAAGATTTGGTTAACTGGAAGCAAGGTGTAGCAGAATCAAGAACAAGGAGGTTGGAACTTGAGAAAACCCCACCAAAGCCACACTACATAGCTCAACGAGAACTAAGTAAAAAATCAATGAGCGCGAGAAAAAGCAGCGTGATACACATAAGCCCTCGCCATTATCGGACTATGAACGCTTTCTTGACAAGTCATATAAGGCGTCGCTGAAAGCGAAGAGAGCATGAAAAGATGTTGCACAGCTCGAACAGCAATCTAAGCAATCTATCGACCCGCTAGTTGTTGAGGATGATTGTACAAATGCACAAGGCGGTACAATCGATAGGGAGGCACTCCAAGACTTCATGGCCACAATATGTCTCATAGCTCAACAACTCATTGGGGGAGGAACCATACCAATAGCCAACTTTGATATTTATCGGACCTATGAGTATGGCAGGAGTCTTGTCAACCCTAAGTCCTTGTCATCACTGGGTACATAAATGTACTTATTAAACAAGTGGTACTTAAGAGCGTGTCACAACGAAGAGGCATGGCTTGTTGTCAGAATTAGACCAGAGCATTACTCCAGTGGCTATGATGTTTTACATATTGAGTTCAATGAATTACACTAACTATTAAATCGGGATGCTCTCGACAAATCTCTCCTCAGCTGCTGGTGTCTATAAGTGATTCTTTCTACAATTGAAGTAACTTGCATGTTAGTTCATTATCTATATATAGTTATCCTCACACTATATATATATATTCTTTTTTGTACTATATAAATGTAGATATGAGATGCTAAAACTAAAGAGAAAAAGGTTAACTGATGTTGGTTTCATGGATCCGAATCGCACATTCAAGGACATTGTTACTCCATATGATAGATGGCGACCACAAGTGAAGAATAATCTGTTTAGGTTCTTAGATAACCAACATAACAAGACACTGATACTCTTCCCTTACAACTTCAAATGAGTGTTAATGTCTTGTGCCCATTTTATTTTGCTTACTCCATATTGACTTTAGTTAATGAGTTATGCCTGCGTATAAACATGTAGCTACACTAGATACTGCTGGTCATCGATATGCCCAGGGGTATTGTAAAGATCTTTGACTCAGCGACAAAACCCCAAAAATATTACCAAGAAATGATAGATATTCTCCCGTGGTAATTTCGGTCTCGCACACTGTATACTCTTTTATGCCATTTTATTGATATAACTCTATTTATTTATTTTGTTGGGCAGTACTTGGAAAAGGTTTGCCGAGAAATGAGTGCCTCTAAATGTAGTCCAATACCCAATAAGTACTAGCTAGGTCACCACATCTTTATTTAGTTCAATTCATTATTACCATGCTTCATTGGTTGATGATGAATTTTTTCTCGTAAAGTGGTGTCTGCAGCAGGGATCGAGGAATAACTTATGTGGATACTGCGTCTGCGAGTTCGTCATGGAGTACTCAAGGAGAACAAGTGAAGAGATCCTCGAAGTACGTAAAAAATATACACAATTTATTTATTACCTTTGTGTTATATATATATATATATATATATATATTCATACTTTTTCTTTCATTCGAATTGAAGATTGAACGGAAGAAGCAAAAGGTTATGCGATGTGACTAGATCAAAGCAATTCAAGAGGCATTGGCAGGATTTCTTATAGATGAGGTCATAGATCCCAAAGGCGCGTACCACTATAACCCTAAAGAATTAATACCTAGTAGCCATACGACTAAAGATAATTAGGGTTGAATGAAATCCCAATGACATGATCAGGACAAGGTTTTTGTGACTTTATTATGTACATATTCCATGTATGTACAACCTCTTAAAATATTTATATATATGTAGTTTCATATATTTTAGTGTATTATTTATGTATAATGCTCGAACGGAACCTTACACGTGGACGTATATTAGCAGTGTAGAATTCGTATACGAAAAGCTAATCGAAACAAAAAGAATTGAATTGAAAAGAAACCATAAAATAAAAAGGAATGAAATGAAAAAAAAAGAACCTTTAGTACCGGTTGGGAACACCAACCGAGACTATAGGTGCTAGGCCCGGTGCAATGCCTGGGAGGCTAATACCAACGGGAACTAAAGGTCCACTTTCAGTCCCGGTTGCCAGAACCAGGACTAAATGGGGGCCTTTAGTCCCGGATTCGCAATTCCGGTTGGGAAACCAGGACTCAAGGGTGTTTCCCAACCGGGACTGATGCCTAGTCCTGCACCAATGAATATAACACATTCTAGAAATTTTAAGACAATTTAAGTGAATACTTAAATGATATATGTACCCATGGATTAAATCCAATTACAAGTTTATCATCATATTATGGTTTTCTTTTTAATAAACTTTGCCAAATATGAGTATGTCACCATATAAAATGCATTATATTTTAATATAAATTTTAGAAGTCATAGTGCACTATATTTTAGAATGGAAAGAGTAGTTGGCAAAGCTCCGGTTTCTTTTTTTTAAAATAAAAGGCAAAAACCCCGAAACAAAAAGATATGGTTACTGTAATCTACTTATATATACTTAATGGCTCAGAACCAGAAGTGGATCTAGGGCCTGGGCTACCTGTGATGCAACCCTGGTCCTAGAGAAGCAAAAATCACTAGAGTTGCTTAATTAAAAGTGTAGATCTTAAAAAAATTCAAAAGATTATGACTAATTTAGCCGAGTCAGCCCTGGTCCAAGACAATTTTTGGATCCGCCACTACTCAGAACCAAAACCAATATCCTCTTCGTGAGAGAATGGTGTAGGTAGCTTTAGCACACAGTCTGTCTTGCTCATGCTCTTCGGCGAAACAACCTGAAAATACCATACGAAAAAAAAATTTACATAACAAAGAACATAGCATGGAGGATTAATTTTACTATATATAGAAACAAATTACTCCCTTCATCTATATAAAATACAAGGGACCATGAGTTTAAAAACCGTATCAAATACAAGGTATTCTAGGTCCTCAGCCCCTCTATCCTCTGTCTTTATGGTAGGAAATACTAAACAGGTCGATAATTAAGGAAAATAACAATTAAACTACTCCCTCCATCGCTTGAACTTATTAGGCTGACTTATCAGCCATGGAACAGTGTTTTTCTCTCACAACAAATCAGCTTCAGTCGACTTATCAGCCGCAGAAACCATCATCCGGCTTATCAAGAGTATAACGCTTATCAGCCCCAGAAGCTTTTGGCTTCAACAAACGAACCATCACCCAGCTTATAAGAGTATAACGTATACCCAGCGCTGAACATATGGTCTGAACTCTGAGGCAGAGACATGAGGAGTTCCCAAGACCAACCTGATTTTCAGTTTACGTAACTGGGGCCTGGGGGGACTCCGGCGAAATCATGGAGAAGGCAATGTAGATCTGTGAAGCACAAATTCCGTGCCTCTTCCCGTTCATACTACCGGGAGTAATTTGCATGATAAGGGTTACTACTCCAGTGCAGAGTATGAGCGGAACCCCCGCCGGGTACGCATCGCATTTTGGTCCCTCTCCCTCCTCGTCCTCGCTGTACTGTAGTTGTGCTGACTTGACCGCCCACAGCTGAACCCAGTGCACGCAGCTTCCTGCCCTTTTCTTCCTTTTCCACCAGCTGACCAGCTCAAAGGCAGCTGAACCGGCTCCCATACTCGCATCCCATCCTCCGAGCTGCCCTCCTCTCTTGCCCCCATTTCCTTCCTTCCACACCGGAGAGCAGAGCGCAAAACCAACAAGCAACGATGGCGGCTCGCGTCCTCGCCGCGCTCCTCGCCACCGCCCTCGCCCTCGCCCTCGCCGCCGGCCCCGCGCCCGCGCGGGCGTCCAACGACGAGGGCGACGCGCTCTACGCGCTGCGGCAGCGGCTGTCCGACCCCAACGGCGTACTGCAGAGCTGGGATCCCACGCTCGTCAACCCCTGCACCTGGTTCCACGTCACCTGCGACCAGGCCAGCCGCGTCGTCCGCCTGTGAGTTCTCCCTCTTCTCTTCTTCTCTCTCTCTCTCTTCTCTTGCACGCCGCCGCCCCCCTTGCTTCCCCTATCCATCCGGGGCTCCGTGTGTTCCTGCCCTGGATTGAACGTCTCTGTTCCGCACCTTTGGTTCTTCTTGGTTGCAACAATCCGATGTTTAATTGTATCTTGAACCAAAAAGAAAAAAGTCCACCGGCTCTTCCTTTGAGTTGATCACACGGCGACCCGCCTGGAGACAAATCTTTGTTTCCGAGATCCAGGATGCCCAGCTATGTGCCTCACAGATTACATGTGGAGCCATAGCAATGGATGATTGCATGATCTTTATCTAAAAAAACAATGGATGATTGGATGGTCTTGTCCTCGAATGACTTGCTAGAATTTCATGGTCCGTTGGCCACTTGGCCCCCAAAATTGCCCATTCGACTGGGGTATTTCCAAACATCTCTAGGAGCATAACTAAGAATATCAAGCTTTCCTACTCCATCAACTTGTATCTTGTTAAGAATTCGGTGATTATGTTATCTGATGACTCCCTTTGTGACAAATGTTTCAGGGATTTAGGCAATTCCAACGTCTCCGGCTCCATCGGCCCTGAGCTGGGCCGCCTTGTCAACCTCAAATACCTGTACGTGTTACCTGAGTTCTAGATTTCTGATGGAGAGTGGAGCTTGATTAAGTTAATGGAAATTGGATTTTTATCTGCAGGGAGCTATACAGGAACAATCTTGACGGCGAGATCCCCAAGGAACTGGGCAACCTGAAGAATCTGATCAGCTTGGACTTGTATGCCAACAAGCTCACTGGAGGAATCCCCAAGTCACTTTCCAAGCTCGACTCGCTCAGATTCATGTATGTATCTTCTCAACAGTTGCTTTAGTAACCACGAAAACCATGCCTTTCTTTTTAGAAGAGCACAAGTACTCTCAGCTCACTCTTGAGTTAGAAATGGACAAGTGGTTATGTGATAATTCAGGTCCAAAGGAATTTGCTTTGGATCTCGTAATTCTAATGAGCACGACAAAAAGCTTTTCTCAGCTGATAACTGAAACTTGGTTGTGTTTGTCTTGATAGGCGCTTGAACAACAACAAGCTTACAGGATCAATTCCAAGGGAGTTTGCCAAGCTCTCCAACCTGAAAGTCATGTGAGTGTAGACCTTTATCATGTTCGGTTGTTTCTTTAATTTCCATGGTCACTGATTGTTGGTATATCCTCTGACATGCAGCGATTTGTCTAACAATGATCTCTGTGGAACAATTCCTGTCGATGGACCTTTCTCAACCTTTCCTCTTCGAAGGTACGCCTCAAAGCTTACTTACTACAAGTACCATATAGTATTCAATATATATGACTACATATGCTGTGGAAAACGCCGACAGATTGAAACGACAGCTGGATTTTGCTAGATTTCGATTCTCTAATGTCATCCCTAAAGGAATACTACCCCCGGACTTTGCACATCTCTGACCGCTGTTATCTTTGAGAATGTGCTCTTAAGATCCTCCAAATTTATGAGATTTTGCAAGTGTGTTCCGATACAAATCTACACATATATCGTACATGTTTCCAACTAAATAAATTAAAAGTTATTGATGTTTGCAGTTTTGACCAAATCTTATCCTAGATGACATGTTTTTATGACTGGGTTGATAGATCCTCAAAACATTGCACAAGATTGATTAGAACCTATGTCAGCTAAGAGCCTAAGACTATACATTGATATCACATTGTTTCAATGCTAGATCGTTGAACTTGTATTTTCCTCAACTACTAGAACTTCGATGTGAATCCATATGATTTTGATAAAGCGCTAACACATCTCTACTTTTCAGCTTTGAGAACAACAGCAGGCTCAACGGTCCAGAGCTACAAGGATTGGTTCCCTATGACTTTGGATGTTAGATGCGATGCTGATGCACAACAATCAACAATGTATCCCGTCCCAGTTGAAAGGAGGAAAAACAAGATAGTAGTACCAATAGAAACCTAGCTTGAAGAATGCCGTGACTATATAAATGTATAATATTCAGACAAGATTTGAGGGTGTCATAGCAGGTCCTGATATTCTGTGTGCATTCAGACAACAGCATAAAAAAAATGTATTCAGACAAGTTCTGCTTGGCTGATTTATCTCGATGGATAGCTGCTTTTATGCAGCTGTGTTGATATTTTGCAAACCCAAACGATGCATTCAGAAATGAGGGTACATATTGTTCATGAATAAATTCACGCCTCCAATACATACATTTCATGTTTTCTGTACAACGGTGAAAAATGTTGGTTATAATTCTATCGCATGATAAAAGAATAGGACACTTGGCAAGTCATAAGCATCTCAAGGAACATCCTACTCCATCTGCTATACAAAACGATCACGTTGTTCATGCCAGCTGAAGTTGGCTGGGCACTGTGACCAACAGATAATTATATAGAGAGAGAAAAAATACTGAAAAAAGAAACATTTGCAGACTATTCCCTTGAAAAACAAAAATGGCTCCAGGGAAACGCTGGCTCGCAAGTAATCGTCAAATGCCCGCAAAATTGATCGTCAACCAATCAGCCCCATCGCTTGGTGATTGGGCCTCATATTGACCAAAAGATGCCCCTCTGTAATATGTTCTGCAATTATTTTACTGCAAATTACTTTGCAGATGGTTCTGTCAATGGCCTTCCATATAGCCGGAAAAGTAACGAGGATTTTGACATGTGAGGCTCTCGCTCAAGTGCTGCGACCACATCATTTATGGAAACACTCCGCGCCACTTTTGTTAGAGGTGACCTTCTAACACCACCTAGAAAAATTGCAAAAGATTTATGACTAAGAAAACAAACTAGTACATGCATGGTAGATATTACTCAGTTTGACCTAACCTAGAAAATTCAGTATTTAAAATAAATTTATTCATATCTTACATTCTAGAATATGTGTTGTTTATACATTATACAAGTTTAATCAACTTAGATTATTTGGTGGTACCCTGATGACAAAGGAATGGTATTGTCGTCTTAGGTTCTATCGAATTTGAAATGAGGTCATTTTAAAGAATATTTCTAGTTTTTACTGAATTAGCGTTGGTAGAATGGCACATCACTAACATTTTAAAAATGGATTAGTGTACACAACTTCAAAACAGAAATCCAGGGATGACATAGATGGCAGGGCATACAGATGTTTTGCACATTAGGCTCATAAATTCTACATCTGCAACTCGCCAATTAATATTTCATGGGTCCAAAGACGCAAATATATTTTTCTTTGCATAAGATGTTTAAGTTATTTTAAGTACAAGGACGATGAGCTGGGAGTGCTATTTCAAGCACTCCATTCATATTTTCTCGTCACAAACTTTGTAGGGAACATGATCTCTCAAGTCCTTCACCATTTTCATGCCATTCAGAGTTTGTTTAGAATGAATCCCAAATGGTACTACTGCTGAATTTTTGCTTCATTTAAGAAAATCATAAATGAATGGGCTTAAAAGCGTCAAGTTCCTTTCAATCAGCACATATATCTTAGACAGATTCCTTCAAGAAAACTAAAATAATTGCAATTGCACAGAAACAAAATTATAGGTTCTGTAGTGTTCTGACAACCCTATGCTACCATTTGAATAACAAGTTGATGATTTATAACAATAAAAACAAAATCTTAACCATATGAAGTAACATGTGAGGCTTGAGAGAGTTGCAGAGCTCTATTGCGTTCAAAAAAAAAAAAGAGTTGCGGAGCTGAACATTGAGCTGACCCACACCATCGCACACTTATAACAGCAATGAATGAAAATAAAAGGATACAAAGTATGTTGTGCACTGCATTTCCCTGTTACCAGGAAAGTCTATAAGTTTGAAGTTTCAGTCTGTATAAACAAATAGCAGAATAAGCATCTTATTGTTGAGAAATGTCTCAACTACTAATATCATGGTACCACCTGAATACAAAAGGTAAACTTAGCCAACTTGACATACACAAGCGGACAAGCCACCCAGACAGCATACACACACTCGGAACCCTACTACTAACCTTGAACAACATAGACCGACTAAATTGGGCTCATGGACGCAAATTTAGTGTTTATATCAAGTTGCAAATCATTATTCTAATAATTATTATAAGACTACATGGTTATGTGTTCAAAATTCAAAACAAGAGAATACAGACCACTGATGTGCAGTGCACTCTTGTTTAACAGCAAGAATACAAGAGAAAGGAGATCAGGCTTACCAGATCCAAGCATTGTGGAGTAGCCTCTCTTTTCAACTTCCTGTTCTTCCCTCAAGTCTTTCCCAGATTTCAGTGATGGCCTGTGTTGCAACATGTTACCTGGTACAGAGCCAGAAGAACCATCACCTCCCTCACTTCTCTGCTTATTTCGTTCAGCTAGCAACTGCCACTTTGACAGCATGTCATCTCCCCCAGCTGCAACACGTGCAGCAACATTTGCAGCTGTAGTTCGCATCTTATCATCGTCCTCCTTGTAAGTCTGTATACAATAAACAGAATCATCAACAGCTCTAGTGTACAAGTATCCCATTACTATGGACAGAGACTAACCTTTGCATGCTTTGACAAACCACGGGTCTCGTTTTTGTCTTTTTCTATATCAACATTTGCATTGCCATCTCCCTGCACATACAAATACACTCATTAAAACTACCCAGTCCTGAAAGCTACACCAAGAACACTAATTCAGAGTTTCAGACATCTGATAATTGTCGTAGTATCTTCCAAAAGATGATGCACTGAAGAAGCATGAGGCCATTGTTCTTAAGGCAGTATGAGTAAAGGAATCTCACTTAAGAAAGAGGTCAAAACAGTTTTTGTTTAACAGGGAAAAAGGTGGCCAAATGAAATTTGCCTCATGCTATATGTGGTTACTGATCAGCCACATGTAGTTTGGTGTGGGATACCAAATGTATCATTCAACAATGGATGTGATTTGGAATCAGAAACTCCAGTTATTAACCATATATTTACTAGCAAACTTGCTTGACATTAACATTAGCACATACTAGAGAAGTGTTAAACTACATATAACCAAGGTTCTTAAGGTAGTAATCATCCTGTGGGGACTTGGTTACGCCTTGTCACCTAGGCGACACATAGGAGGCAAGAGGCACTTGTGGCTACCTAGATATGCCTTGTCGGCTAGGTGACTCCTTAAGAACCTTGCACATGACATATATTGGCAAACGAATATTATAAGTGGTAAAACTGTTCCAGTAAAAGAGGCAAGCGTTCCTCATTCAACTTAGGTCATTAAATCATGATTTATGTGAACAGAGATTAAAAATCAAACTGAAACATCGTGCAGAACCAACATCATTTTGTTTCCTAATTCTCTCAGCATCTTCAGCCTGCTTTTTCTCCCACTGTTCTCTTGCTTCTCGGTTCACCCTCATAATATGACCGCGAACATCTGAGGATAACGGATAAAAACGATGCCTTGACTTTTCAACATCAACCCTCTACAGACAATAAGAACATGTTTAGTGAATTCAAAATCTCAGATAGTTTATTTGGGAAGGAAAACTGAATCAATTTAAAGATACCATACCTGTTTTGAGAACCTTATTATACTGCTTATAAACCCCCGTAACCTCTCCTCAACACACTGGTAAAATTTTAAGTTAGATATACATAAGCCAAAACAGGAAAGGTTTTTAGCATTTTACAGGATAATCTCACCATGGACAGACAGCGTTCCACATCAGTGCCAATGACCTTCAAATTACATTTACTCACTGCCGAAACATCATAGTGAGAGAATAGATGCCAAAAGAATTTTTTATCAAGTAAAACATAAAATGATGGAGGTCTTAACTGATTGCTGCTAATTTTTGGGTCAGGGGTCCCTTCCGTAGAATGAGCTTTTCTTCTTCTAGTTGAACAACTTTCCGAGCAGCTTCTGAAACTCGACTCTCTTCCTTTGGACCAGAGAAAAGTTGTTCCTCTTCTTCCTGGCAGAAAGGACAAACTATTATACCTTCAAAATTCATCAAATAATAGGTGCTACATGGCAAATGTCATGCACAAAGCAAATAAACATAACAGGTGAATAAGAAGTCATGTACCCTCAGATTAACACCACTAACTGCAGTGACATCATTAAGCTGGTCAATGCTTTGTTCATGGAAACCTCCAGATACCTTCTGCTTTTTGCTGACAAAACATAAAACACATCAGAGGCAAAACAGAATGTAACTATAGACTAAGAAAAGGCATTGAACTTACCTAGATGGTGGAGGGGATGAGCCTAATGCTTCCAAAGGCTTCTTCTGTCCAGAAGATGCCTTCCTCTGAGGTGTTTTAGAAGCTGCTGCAGGAGGTGCTTGCACAGAAGATTGAATCTAACAATAAAAGCTAACTGATTAGAATACAATGGCAAAACAATCACCCACAATGCTGAATTGTGACAACGTGAGAATCAGTAAAAGGCAAAAAAAAAAAAAAAAGAAGAAGAAGAAGAAGAGCGAACACATGAGATTCTATAAATGAACAGAACTCAACCAAGCATGCAGCCATGGATGCAAACATTTTTTTTCTCAAACACCATGGATGCAAAACCCATGTTTGCATGTTAAACCCATGCAAACATGGGTTTAACAAGGTATAAACATACCATTAATGCCCCCATAAAATTACAATATTTTTACTGTTATCCACTCCATCCTTATGTCCGATAGGATATTTATTGCATTGCTAGTTTTTAATAATTGCACGTTTTCACTACATAACATATAAATTAGATTCCTTGTGTGGTTATGTGGTTGCACACATATACAAGCCACTCTGAAAGATCTGATATGGGTCGTCAATCATATACAATCACAAATATAGTACAGAGTGGACTTGGATGAAAAGGTTAATGAGTTCTGGCACAAATTCTACATGGATCATGGAA